CCTTCCTTCCTTCCTTCCTTCCTTCCTTCCTTCCTTCCTTCCTTTAATTTATTTGAGAGAGAGAGAGAGTGCATGATGGGGGGGAAAGGCAGAGGCAGGGGAAAAGCAGGCTCCCCGCTGAGCAGGGAACCAGATGTGGGACTCGATCCCAGGACCCCGAGATCAAGACTGACTGAGCCACCCAGGTGCTCCCTTGCCCTGTTTCTTTTACTTTCCTACTGATATTCGTCCAGGTCACTATGGGGCTTCCCTTTGCCCAGTTGATCTGTCTATTAACACCTTTGTCTGTCTTCATGTAAGGCTGTTATACATGTGCAGCTCAATAGAGTCTATTCTTCTGCTTCTGGAATCCTCTCCTGCTAGGACACTAACAGAGTGGCAACTCTTCCACCATCCAACGCCACCTGGATTGGACGGTCTGTCTACTTATTCTTTATTTTAATTTTATTTTACTATGTTATGTTAATCACCATACATTACATCATTAGTTTTTGATGTAGTGTTCCATGATTCATTGTTTGTGTATAACACCCAGTGCTTCTTAACTGAAAAAAATCAGATAACATCATTATCGAAGAAAACTATTTTAAAATCACCCTCCACTCCCAAATCCCAAGAAAATTGCTTCAATTTTTATAAACTTTTACATTTCGTAGGGATAGAATCATGGCACACCTGAAATTTTAAACTTTTGTGCCCCATCTCACGATGAACATTGCACCTTCCAACATAATGACCACTTTAATGGTCACTTTTAATTCTTAACTTCTCACTGTTAGTGTACCATGTTAATAAAATATCCCCCGAATTCAGGGAAGTTGCTATTTCTGATGTTTTGTTATTGTAGATGATGAAGCAGTTCATCTGTTGACCTGTTAAGTTTGTTGTTCTTGGCAGGGGCGCCTGGGTGGCTCAGTCAGCTGGGCATCTGCCTTCAGCTCAGGTCATGAGCCCAGGGTCCTGGGATTGAGTCCCGCATCGGGCTCCCTGCTCAGCGGCGAGTCTGCTTGTCCCTCTCTCCCTCTGCCCCTCTCCCCTGCTCCTGCTCGCGCTCTCTCTTGCTCTCTCTCAAATAAATCTTAAAAAAAAAAAAAAAGTGTTCTTGGGATTTTTTTTTTCTCTCCTAAATTCAGAAATGAAGAAGGAAAGAATAAGTAGGGTATTTACCCTCCCCTAGAGTCTCTACCCTAAGTTCTCTTGTTTTGGCTAATGCATTTTAAAGAGTAATGGAACCTCTAGAAATGTCAGGTACCCAGAGACCCTAACAAAATCTGTGGCCAGATCAACAGATGACTTCATCATGCCTTTGGATAAGAACATTGGCATTTTTCTTTTCATTCTCTCTCTTTTCTTTGGTCCTTTGAAAGCCAGTTTTGTTTGTTTTTTTAAGATTTTATTTTTAAGTAATTTTTACGCCCAATGTGGGACTCGACCTTAAAACCCTGAGATCAAGAGTCACATATTCTACCGACTGAACCCACCATGCACTCCTGAATACCAGTTTTGTTAGAGGTCACTGTTTGGGTCCCCGCATTTTTCCAGAATAGCCACGGTGATAGGAACAGTGAGGACTGGATCAAGTCCTGCAAACCTTTTACATAAAAATGCCAATACACATGAGTGACAGTGAATTGGCTTGGCCACAGCCACTTCTTATCATACTCCATTCTGACCTTTTGGACACGAAGTGCACAGGGTCGCAGATTCATTGCAGGTTTTACAAGAAGGATGACAAGGCTGGTGTCCTCTCAAAACGTCTGTGGAGACAGAAACCGGAAGTCAGTGTCCTTTGAACAGGCTCATAGTATTACAGCGTTGGAAAGGAGCTCATGGGTAATCTCATCTTCCTTCCTGCCCAGAATAGAATCCCTTCAGTTTTGCATTGGCTAAACCTCCACTGTGGGCTTTATTCATTTATTCATGTATTTCATTTATTCATTTATTTTTTCTCTTCCTTCCAATTGGTTATCATGGTTTGCAAACTTCCAGTGACAGGATAGTCTTTAATGCAATGGGGCTGTTTGAACTACCAGGTGTTCCTTCTTTCATATATTAAAAATCTGTGAGCGTGTGTGCTTCTGTGCATGCATGCATTAAAGAGTTTTCTAGTTAAAGGTCATTACTTCTTTCCCCAAGATTCTTAAATGACCATTTCTCTTCACTCCAAGATGATAACAGAATTCACTGTGTCTTTTATGGAGTAACTTTTTCTTTTCCTTCCTTCCTCTCTTTCCTTTTTTTTTTTTATTCTTTGGAACCAGCTTTCAAAATCCGTCAGTGTTTGGGTTTCTGTGTTCTTCAGAGTAATCACTGTGGAATGCAAACCTAAACTTATCTCCTCTCAAATCATCATTAACATTCACCTAATGGAGCCACCTGTGGGCTTTCTGGTTGGTCAGGTGATAGGCAGGCCATCCCAGGTCAATACACCATTCCCCTGGGAAACATTTGAGGTGTTCCTCTCTCCCTTTCCCCCCAAGAGCATTCCTTTGGTGACCAGGCTTTTCCAGGGAGTCAGGAAGTCCACGGGACAATTTCAAAGACCTACAGAATAGCCTTGGTGACATCACTCAATGAGTCCACGAGATCTTGATTGAATCTCAGGAGCTGCTTGGGAATCAGCATAAGTCTCATAGGAGAGAATTAGAAAAAGAAGATCTAGCTCAGGATGTGTGCTAGGAATGATCCAGACCCTCAGTTGACTGTTATTGTTGGCATCTTATGATCACCCTCCCTCTCTTGCTTCCCGCTCCTTCCCGCTCTTCCTGAGAGTCAGTCTGACAAAGTGGGTTCTGTAGGCACACCTGCTGTCAGAGCCCAGCTGTGCCACTTACGGGAGGGTAACCATGGATACGGTAATTAAACTCCGAGAGTCCTATTTTCCATGTCTCTGGAATGAGAGCAAACGATCGTTCCCTTATAGAACTGTCATGGAGGCTAAATGAAACAGTGTGTGTAATGAGCACACACAGCGGCTCAGTAAATGCTAGACCTTCTGCTTCTTTCCTCCCAGTTTCCTCCTTGGTTACCATACTTCCCCATTTCCCAACCTTAGGCTTTAGTTCTCTCTCTTTTCCCTCTGTTCCATACCTGGAGCGGCAGTGGGAGGGTTTGCTTGGTTTCTCTGAAGGCGCTATGGTTAATAAGCTGCTGAGATTCGCTAACAGAGGAAACTAGACTCAGGTAGGTAGGTAGACAGACAGATTGGTGTGGATGTAGCTATAGATATAGATGTATAGACATAAATGATCATCCTGCCATGCTAAGTGGCCATTCTCTTCCTAGTCTGGAGAGAGAAATATGCCTTGCTTTTCCAGGAGGCTGACTCACTCCTGTACTCTCCCTTGGGGGAGCTGTTAAGAGCTCAATTAGCCTTGTGTGGAGCACTGTCAGGCACAGGATTCTCACAAAAGACAACAGGAAGCTCCACAGGACCAAGTGTTTCCCCGAAGGCCTTTTTAAACTGACAGGTCTCACTTAACCCAAACGAGAAGGGGGCAGAGATGAGCAACAATTCGGTTGCCAACATCAGTCCTCACTAATCACCTGGGAGAGGCAGATCAAAACCACAATGTGAGAGCACCTCACACCTGTCAGAAGGGCTTGATCTTAATCAAGAAGAGACAGCACGTGTTGGTGAGGATGTGGAGAAAAGGGAACCCTTGTGCACCGCTGGTGGGGCCGTAAATGGGCACAGCCACTGTGGCAAACAGTATGGAGGGGCCTCACAAGATTAAAAAGGAACTACCCTATGATCCAGCAATTCCACTCTGTGTATGTAACTGAAAGAAATGAAATCACTGCCTTGAAGAGATACCTGTCCTCACATGTTCATTGCAGCATTCTTTATAAGAGCCAAGACACGGAAACCACCTCAGTGTCCATCGATGGATGAATGGATCAAGAAGATGTGCCATATGTGTATAAAGGAACACTGTTCGGCCATAAAAAAGGAGGAAATTTTGCCATTTGCAACAAAGGGATAAATCATGAGCATTAGGCTAAGTGAAGTATGTCAGAGAGAGAAAGACAAATACCAGAGGATCTCACTTATATGTGGAACCTACAAGGAAACCAAAGACTTAGAGTAGATTGGTGGTTGCCAGGTGTCGGGGTCAGGGTGGGGAATGGGTGAAAGTGGACCAAAAGGTACAAACGTCCAGTTATAAGATGAATAAGTGCTGAGGATGTAACATCCAGCATGGTGTCTGTAGCTAATGCTGTGTTGTGTACGTGAAGGTTGCTAAGAGTAGCTCTTAAAAGTTCTCATCACACACACACACACACAAAAGGTAACTATGGGGGTGGTGGATGTGTTAACCTCATGGTGGTAATCATTTTGTAATATATGTGTATATCAAATCATCACATTATGCTGGTTAAGCCTGACAATGTTTTATGTCAATTGTATTCCAATGGAACTGAAAAAAAGATACTTAATGGCTGAATGCAGTTCTTAAAAAATAATGGCAAAATAATATTTATCAGAAACACCTTGACCATCTTTAATATTATATGTCTAGGCCAGGGGTTGAATGTTTTTCCCCTCAGGGTTTGAATTTTTTATTTTATTGTTTTTTTAAATTTTATTTATTTATTTGAGACAGAGAGAGAGAGGGACGCCTGGGTGGCTCAGTCAGTTGGATGTCTGCCTTCGGCTCAGGTCATGATCCCTGGGTGCTGGGATTGAGTCCCACATGGGGCTCCTTGCTCAGCGGGGAGCCTGCTTCTCCCTCTGCCTGGCGCTCCCTCTGGTTGTGCTCTCTTTCTCTCTGACAAATAAATACAATCTTAAGAGAGAGAGAGAGAGCTGGAGCGAGCGAAAGCACACGAGTGGAGGGGAAGGGTGGAGAGAGAGGGAGAAGCAGACTCACCACCGATATGGGAGCTGGAACTGGGGCTCGATCCCAGGACGCTGGGATCATGACCTGAGCAGAAGGCAAACACTTAACTGACTGAGCCAGCACTCAGGCACCCCGATTTTATCATTTTTATACTAAAATTTTTTATTTAGAAAGACATGAGCTTTAATGGATTTTCTCACATTTTTAAAAATACAATGTATATATCTACATGTGGATTTATAATTACGTGTATCACATTCTGGCAGTTTGAGATTTTACTGGGATACCCTGGATATAAAATTCTGTAATGTCAGCATATTTCCACTAGAGGGTGCTCCGTACACACAGTTAACGGCAATTAAGTGTGGGCAAGGGATTGTCGTTACCCGCCACAGCTTTTTATCATAAAAGATTAGTGACTTAATCACAAGTAAATTTTGACTTTGATCATAGTTTCTCTTTTTTTTTTTTTTCCACTCCAGAAATTCTGGACTGGACAAGACCTCAAAGAAAAAAAAAAATCACCTTGACCAAGAAAATGTAGTCAGTCCTTTAGAAATGACTATAGCTAAACCATATAAAATGGGAGTTTTATTTAAAAAAATTTTTTTTAAATAAGCAATACACAGTTAAAAAAAACAACAAAACTGAAGAAAGGGAATATATCATAAAGTATCTCTCCATCCTTTTTATATAAACTGTATCTATTCACGCTGTTTATCACATTGCTTTTTTTTTTTGGTAATGTATTTTGGGGCTCATTCTCTGTCGGCGCATAAAGAACCCCCTCTTGTTTATGACTCCACAGCATTCCATTGCATGGATGTATCATACTTCATTTTTCTAACCGGTAACTGTTGGTGACCACTTCGGGTTTTTTTGTTGTTTTTTTTTTTCCAATCTCTGCTATTTCAAATACTACTACAGTGGGAAGGCCAAAGGTGCTTTTCCAGCCTATTACAGATCTGCAAGGACAGAGGCTTTTCTTGATGGCCTCTCCCAGATATAAACACTCAGCACATCAGGAACGACCTTAAATGTTCCAGAAAGCTCCACTGCTGAATTTCCTCCCGGTCTTTGGCCTTTGAGCACCTACGTTGTGGTCACCACCTCCTTCTGTTTTTACTTGGGCACCCCCATTTGCTCCTTGTAGCCCAACTTCTTTGGGTTGGTTTCTACATCACAGAGGCTTTTGATTCAGTGTGATGATCTTCTCCCTATTTCCCTGTTACCTCTTTTGATTTGAAACTTCCGCCGTCGCTTCTGTGGCAGGCTCCTCACCAAAGATGGGCTTGCAGTGGGCACAGGCTCTTTTTTATTAGAAAAGAAAAATAAAGTGTTTTATTTTTTTAATGCAAGAAAGATGAACAAGGTCAGTTTCGCCTATCACCTTACCACCCAGAAATGCCTGTGATGTAGACGTCAGCACGTAGATTTCCCATCTTCATGCTGAATGTGTGAGTAAAACCACATATGTGTATTTAATCATTTATGTCTTCTGCGTATATAATACCGACCCTACTTTTTCTTTAATGACTTTATTTATTTATTTGACAGAGAGAGCACAAGCAGCGGGTGGGGAGCGGCAGGCAGGGGGAGAGGGAGAAGCAGACTCCCCACCAAGCAGAGAGCTAGATGTGGGGCTCGATCCCAGGACCCTGGGATCATGACCTGAGCCGAAGGCAGACGCTTAACCGACTTAGCCACCCAGGCGCCCCTGCGTTTGATATTATAAATTTTATAGGCATATTTTCTTGCTATTAAAATTCTTAGTACACTTTTTAATGGATTGTGTATTTGCATGAACCATAATTCACTTAATTTTTTTCTTTTGTTACATTTTTAGATTGCTCTTTTTTCTTTTTTGGTTATTATAAGTAAAGCTGCCATTGACATCTTTATACACGGTATTGGCTAAGTCAGGACTCCGCTTGGCTCCTAGGCATCCCAGCTGACCACTATTTGGTGCCTTCTTTCTGGGACTATTCTTCCCCAACCTAGAGCCCCCCAAATTACTTGCTTTTGACAGGGAAGACTGTTTTGAAAGTGAACTAGTGTTTCCCGTGTTAAGACTGGGTCAGGTTAAAGGGCAAGGGAGTAGTTTAACTTTTCTTGTGTCCTCTTCTGTCCTGGGAGCTTTATGTGGGCTCTCCCATTTACTTCTCAGAATGACCTTGGCTGAAGCAGTTCCATGTTCTTATTTTATGGATGAGGGAACTAAGATTCAGACAGGATGAATAACTTGTTCAAGGTCACATGGCTAGTAAAGAACAGAGCCAGGATTTGAACCCTCGTATGCTTACCTCTAAAGCCTACATCCACTAGAGAGACTTTTTAGTAATTAATTTGGATTTTAAAATAGTTTGGTCAAGGTCAAAGCAGCCGGTGTACCAGTAAAATGGCTTTTTGGAACACACAACAAAAACCTTAAATTGTAGTGTTTGCTGATTTCCGTGGTGTAAATACTCCCATTGTAGTTGATTTCAAGCTGCCGGTGGTTTAATGATCCCCTATTGAAATTCCTGGATATTTGACAATCAGGGCAAGTGGAGACGCATGGTTCCTTCAGGGATCCTGTGGGCCAAAGGTTTAATCATTTACTCATCCAGTGTCCTGTGTTTTCTTCACAAAGTTCTGGTTGGTTAGTTAAGTAAAAATGAGGTCCTCATTTCTAAGCGAGGCAACTGTATATATCTACAAAGTCCTTCTAAAAATCAGATTTTCGTGGCATCTTTAAAGCTCTCGAAGATTCAGTTACACATAGGCAGCATATCTGCTCACCGCTGAGATTTATTTTTTACAGATGGCTCTCAGTGTTTGTGACTGACTCTGGGATTCCAGCCTTCCTCAGAGCATAGGAATTAAGATCAAAAGACAGGCTAGTGAGAAATTGTTAGGATGTGGTCAAAAAGTTAATTCCCTGTGTCTGCGCTTTGTAGATTAAACTAGCATCAGAATATGTAATTAGAGCCTGCTACAAACACGGTTTTAATTGATGATGGAAATAGGTGGGTAGGGGAAATGTGCAGGAATTATTCTTAGGACTTTCTGGCACTACCAGGGGGAAAACCACTTAAGAAAATCCAAATGATTTAACAGTCATAGAGTAAACTGTTTCCATTCCCAACAATGGTTTCAGGAAAGCAGCCGAACCTGTGGCCTGCCACGGCTGAATGTTTTCACCCATGGTGGCTCTGCGATGCCTAAGTCCCTGTGGAAGCCATTAGCAACCTATCTCACATTGGATCTGTTGCTGCCACACAGGGGCACTGGCCTAGGAATCTCCACAGGGTGTTAGTGACTAGGACAGGGGATCTGGTAGGGATCCATACTTTGGTGCAAGTCATTCTTTGCTGGCAGGAAGAACAGAGTTGAGCGGCCATCTTTGGAGATGAGTTAGTCTTGGTTGGAGGATTGGCCAGGCATGGTCCAACGTTTAAGGAAATCTCCATCCTTGGACTGGGGCAGGAGGCAGTGCCATCTTGTGTGTAATTAACGAAGAATTATGGTCCTCTCATCGTGAGCAGCCCCTTTATTAAGAGAGGGGTTTAGCGAAGTCTAGTTGGATTTTTATTTCAAGGCTCTTTCCCCAACATGTACTGGCACAGACCGTGGGGGTGGTTGTAGTCTTTGGATGCAAACAAGATCTGATTGTTTCCTCTGGGAGGTCATGTGGGTGAAGGAGTGGACTGAAGTTTGTCCCATTTTACCTTTCCTATGTGGATCTGCAACTGTGTTGAAAACCACACCACCACCTTGCTGAGAGCACCTAGGCAGCTCTATTCTTTTAAAATTATTCTGTCCATTGTCTGGGCTCCCACTGAGTTGACCCAGGATGACTGCAACCTGCTTAGCATCATCTTAAAGGGGTGGCTAGTTAGTGCCTGTTTTCTGGAACCTTCTGCCCTCCTATTATACCCTCAACCTTGTTGGGGTTTTGTTTGTTTGTTTTTGTTGTTTTTTAAGAGTTAGAAGTCAGGGGAAAGATGTAGGCATTTGGCTCAAATACTCCCAGGACTTCATGGAGTGCATTTCCCACTTACTATCTTCCTCAGTGGTGTCTAAACTCTGCCGGGGAAGCTGAGCTCTGGCCTCACCTTGCTCAGTGAAGAAAGAGTTTTTCCTCACTGTTAATAGTCTGCATGTCTGATTTCCTAGATCATAGAAAAGTGCAGCCATGGCATTGACTTTGTTGCTTTTGTCCAGCCATGAGAAACATTCTCATCTGCTTCCCAAATCCCTTAGTAGTGCTAACTCCCCAGATGGACTAATTCCTTCCTTTCTTCAAAAACACTATATTTTGATAGTAGAAAATGCAGAGGGGTGGGTGTGGTGCTCTGACAAAGGGGAGCAGTCAAAGCCTGATTTCTTCTTGCAAAGTGCGTAGTCCAGTTGAAAGGGACAGGTAATCATTTGGGGAATAAAATCCGCTCTGACTCTTGGCTCCCTGGACCTTTTCATCATCTGGATGCCAGATAAAATACAGATGTTCTGAGCTAGAGACCCAGCACCAGACTATTTTCCTCTTGGCTTGCCCTGCCTCTTAAATGCCTAAATGCCAGACAAGCCCGTTTTCAGCATTTGGGTCCAGCTATAATTCACGGAAGATATCCCAATCTGGATTGAATGATTTTCTTCCCAGCTATGCCTCTGAAATTGGCCTGTGTTCTCCATGGCCTTTGGCTGCTAGGTTTGTGATGGTCTCTGAGCTGCTTTTCCTTTAAGTCACACATGCAACCCTGTCGTGGTGGACGGTCACCGTGGATGTCCCTCGTCAGACTCGGCAAGAGCCTCTCTCCTGCCCGGGATCTATCCCTCGCCCCGGGCCCTTTGAACACTCATCCTGAGCAGACCTCCACTGCCATTGCTCTGAAATGACCTTTTTAACAAATCCTTGCCTTGAAATCAAACGGAGAGCATCTCTTGTTTTCATGAACATCTCTGCATAGAATGTGAGTCAGATTTTTCCAGCCCGAAGAGGGTTTGGTTTTTTAACCACCAGAGACACAGAGAGGTCACTGGAGTTTGTAACTACCTTGCAAGGAAGCTCGTGACTGAGGCTCCAATGTGAGGTCAGTACTGAAGACGCAGGTAGGGAACGAGCCCGCGCGAGCCTTTACTGTTAGATTGCAAACTCCCACACCCTTCCTCCGGCCCCCATCAAAATCCCCACTTTCCCCAACTGCAACTGGAGGGGGACTTTTATTTTACTTGAGAGCAGCATGAGTTGGGGGGAGTGATGGGGAGAGGGAGAGAGAATCTCAAGCAGATTCCCTGCTGAGCGTGGAGCCAGACCCCAGGCTGGATCTCACAACCTGGAGAAATCAAGAGTCGGTTGCTTAACTGAGTGAGCCGCCCGGGTGCCCCTGGAGGGGATCTTTTAAAAGGCAAGCGTGGATGACGCTAAGGTCTAATGAGCCCGCCGGAAAGATCAGCTGGCTCAGCTTAAATTCCAACACTTTTAGAGCAGGTCTGCCTTGTCCAATTGAAAAAGCCCATTTACCAGTTGTTTTCCTTTACCTTAGATAGAAGCTATTCTGAAATCTTTGAGAATGGTCGTTGGGCCATTCCCCTACATGACTCTCTTTACCTGCTCCGAGGTCTCCTCCTCCCGATAGGAACTCATGGGCCACACCAACCGGAGGCTGTGCTTTGGGTTTCCCTCCAGGTCGGATGACAACGAACCACCGCCTCCTACCCTTTCCCACTCCAAGCTTTGGTTCACTGCCGTGCCTTCATCTCTTTTGGGATATCCCAAAAGCAAGCGTTAAAGGGGGAGGGAGGCAGGAAGGCAGAGAAGGTGGCCAGACACCTGCTTTCTCTCCCTCGGGAGGCACCTACCATTCCGGAATTTGCCTTCCACCTGGGTCTGGGCAGGCTCCACGCATGACCCATGTTGTAGCTGCAGTCCTTCCCGGCAGCTGCTGCACTGATGGTGGCCAAGGCCAGTGCAGGTCACACAGGCCGGGTGGCAGTGCTCACACTGTCCCAGCTCTGGGTCGCCGTAGAAGCCAGGACCACATGTGCTCACACAAGAGCCATCTGCAGGGGCACACAGAAGGGGAGCATGAGGGTATGTCCCCGGCTGGCTTGGCGCACTGGGCGAGGCCAAGTTCTAAACAGGACGCGGGGAATCTCAGGAACATTCTTTGTTTGAATTTGTTTTTAAAGAAACCAAACTGGCATAATCTTCTTTCAACCAAGAAACGTGTCTTAAATCCAACATGTCAGTCCTCTTTTACCCAAGCATTTCAGTTTGCTCAAGGGGTGAAGGGGTGAAGAGCACAGAGTAAAGCACTTCAAATTCTCAGGGCCTTGAAAAAGTACAAATCAAACGAATCTCTGTATAGAAGCACTGGAGATCAGTGTGGGCTGATCCTGCAAACATTCAAGAGCACTGGGCTGTGAGTCCTTCCACTAGAAGACTCCTAGTATAGTTCTTTCCTAACCATCTAACCAAAACCAAAGACAAAGGATCTTGTTGATCTTTAACACTGCTTAGGAATACATAGCGTGGGTTGGGTTAATTCTCCGGGTAAGAGTCATGGTCCTGAGTATTCCAGGTGATTCATTCTAAGGCATTTATCTTCAGTGTTTCCCCCACCTGCCCCCATCACTCTTGTTTCCATCAGCTTGGAGATGTTGGAAATTAATGAGTGACATAGGAACTCTGCTTCAGTAATAAAAGCAGAAAGAAGTAGTCCCAGCTAATGTTTATTTTCAAACCAAATTAAAATCCATCCTTGGACAAAAGGCACGGGAAGAGTCTGAAGCCAATCAAGCGAGTGCTCTTATTTCTGGGTGGGGCTCTGGAGCCTTGTTCTTCCTTTGCACCACGCAGTTCTCAGGCTTACCCAGGAGAAAGAAGCCTTCTTCACACCAATAGCACTGATGCTGGTCACAATCACCACAGTTGGTCTCACACGCTTTGCATTCAGATTCTTCACTGTAGGTCTTCTGAGGACAGGTCTTATAACAGCGGTGTTCAAACCTAAGGGGGGGGGAGGAGATGGAGTTTCTTCCACAAGCTATGTTGATGTATTTCTCTTTACCGCCATAATTTAATATCCTGACACTGTCTACACATCATTTTTAACAGGTATAGATGTTTAGGTTTCAAGGATAAAAATTTGGTCTATGGGTGCTCACCAAACAAGTCATTAACCACTTCCCTCTGGGCTCTGAGGATCCATCATTGGGGCAGCTGTGAAGAGGGTGGGGAGAAGGAAAGGGGTAGCCATATTTATTTATGGAGTACTGATGATGCATTAAGTCCTCATTTCAACCTCCATGCAATTCTCCTATGGTAGCTATGACTTGTCTTTAATTTCTAGATAAGGGAACTGAGTATCGAGGTAAAATGCTCAAAATCCCGTAGGTAGTTAGAGGCAGGCCTGGGATTTGAACAGATGGTTTGTGTGCTTCTGTCACATGGCAATGGGAAGGGGAGGTGATGTGGAGACCTCCCATCACTAACTTGTAGAGTTGAATTGGAGAACTTTGGAAGGGATTGTTATCTGTGTTTCATTTAATCTAGTGGTCTGTGTCTCTTCTTACCCAGGGGATGATTCAGAACTCATAAAGTACCTGGCTTCATCCTGGATTTTCTGACTCCTGCCAAGGACAAGGTCTCCACACAGACATTTGGAAATAGCTTGCCTGGGGGCGGGTCTATCGTTAAGGTTTGTCCATGAACGGCAAGGTCTGAATCCTGGTAACCCATGGCAAACTTCCTAGACACCAGTGTCAGGTTGGGTGGCTTCCAGGACCAAGAATAAGGGGGCCTCCTTTGGAGGCAAGAAAACAGCTGGGCTTTTATTGCTAAATCCAAGAATTGTTCTTTAATAGCCTGACAGGGCAGAGTCACTTCAGGCTTCCCGGCCTCTTTGCTTTAATCACTGGATTTAGGATTAAGTCAGTAATGCTTAAACTGCAGAAAAGTTAGTGCCATGAAAAAAAAAAAAAAAAGCCAAACTTACATGTAATACCCCGTAGTGCATGATGTACAGGTTCCTGGATTATCTGGAAGAAAGTTATAATAATGAAACATAATAATTACCGAGAGTCCATCATTTGGAAAAATGGGCTCTGGAAAAGTCCTGGCTTGAGACAAATCATCTTTTTGGGATGATTCATGAAAAGTAGTCTCCAGAAATGATATTTGCACAGATTGTACCATTTTTAATTAGCACGATGTATGCTGTGGTTTAGCTTTATCAAAGCTAGTAAAAAAAGAGTTCTCAGGAATGGCTGGCCCTGATTTTCAAGGAAGTAGAATCCCAAGCTCCTAGGTCTTCAAAACGCAGAATAAGAACCATCCACATTAAGCACCTCCTGGCCTCTATGAGGGAAAGGCATCAAGCATGTCCACACATGCATATTTGGAAGGAGCGGCGGGCTCTCGACTCTGAATGGCAGGTTTTCCATGAGCTACCCCCAATGTCTGCCAATGTGAGGGAGTGTCATCTGGGAGGCTCCTTTGAAATTGGGACAATTATTATTTTTTTCCAATACAGTATCTACTTTGTGTGGGCATGTCACAAATCTCTTGAAGAAACTGTCCTGTTCTCATTAAGTATAATGATTCAATATGTCCCTGTTGGCTCAGAGAAGGACTCTTTCCTACAGCTTTCAGGGGACTTAATGAGAGAGCAAGAGCTTTGAGAATCACTAGTTCAGTCTATTTCCCTTCCTCATAACCCTCTTTGAAAGATGCCAATTCCAGATCCAATTATTAAGGGAATTCTATGATTTCCACTGGCCTGGGATTCCCATGACTCACAGAGTGACCTCCAGCAAAGTTTCTATGATACTCCAGTTCTGTTCCTTTCATTCTGATAAGATATGGAAAAAAAATTGCTCCTCTTTAGAATGTTCCTCGTGGTACGTGAAGATTGTATGTGACCTTTAACTATTTAAACAAAATTTTGCCCTTTGAACTTTGTGCACAGCTTTCCTTTCTAATCTACTCTAGGGTCTATTTTGGTTTTCACAAAATCTGCCCCTTGCTCAAATCTTTAGCCAAAGGCTCATCCTGGGTTCTCCTAGGGATGTTGCAAGACAACAGTACTGTGTATTACACATTATATGGCTGGTGCATTACACCAAAAACTATTGTGGAAAAATTTCTATAAGAGGTTCTGCCATTTAACCAGAGATTGACAGAACCTTCTGGAAATAGCTTAGTGATGATGCAGTGGAGAAGGTACTGGCCTGGGAACTGGGCTATCTGTTTCTAGTTTGACGTTTTAACTCTGGCTTAACTGCCTTGCGAACTTGCATTAAATGTTGCGCTGCTTTCTGGATTCTGATTTCTGTAGGTATAAAATGATCTGGTTGGAGAAGGTGGTTGCTAAGACTCTTCAAAAGGTAAAAATTCTGCAATTGAGTCTAGCAGGGGTTGGCAATGTATGACTGACTCTTGGGCCAGATTCAGCCATGCCCCTTCCATAGGAAGGATGGAACAAGACTCAAGACAGCCAAGGACGTAGCCAGACCCTTCTGCAGGAGGCCATGATACGCTCACAGTAGGGAAATGGTTTTTGTCTGTTGTATGGTGACATGGTTTGTTACAGGGCGACCAGACCAGAGCAGGACAGTGAAATGAACCATAAAGCAGGCTAATTACATGATATAAGGAATCTGAAGCTAGAGGTGCCTTGAGAAACAAAAGCTCACAGAAATTCTTAGGATTTTTGCAGGTAGGGAGGGGTCTTTATGCTTCCGCAATCCATTTTAAGAGGGGTGCAAAGGCCCCGGAGAACACGAGTGGTTCCACTGGGTAAGTATTTCCCGTTACACGTCTGTGTTTGCATCTGTATTCTTTCAGGTCTGTTCCTAAATAAGCTGCTACTACTCAGCTCACAGTTGGGCATCTTACTTTTCCCTGCCCGTCCCCAATGAACATATTTGACTCTGACAGTTTTGCTAATTTGGCAAGGGCTGGGGAAATTCTAATCCTGTTCTCTAATGTTCTGGCCATCCCTCCCATCTAGGAATTTAATGAGTTTGCTCTCTGCTCCTTTAAGCAGGTCACTGATGAAAATGTTAAACAGAACCAAGCCTCAGAAATGTGCATACCAATGTAATCTTGAGTCCAGGGACCTTTCCAGCCCAGATGCACAGTGAATTTGGTACCTTTACAATAGTTTGCATAAATGAATAATGCATAGAACAGGAAGTATGTCTTATAACAGCTTATGAATGCCCATTAGTCTTTCTCATTATTACTGGTTATTCTGAAGAATAAGAATTATTTTAAAAATTTTTCCACCCCAGAAGATCCACAAGTCAGACATAAGCTAAATGGATTTAGCTTGACCACTGAGAGGCAGCTGTTACGGGATTAAGGAAAGGTAACAATCCCAAACCTAGAAGTTGAGTCTAAGTCAAGTTGGCATTTGAATGGTAGGGTAGGAAAGGAGGGTTGGCTTAAGGAGAAAGATGAATTTTGCGGCTCTTCCAATGTGTGTGTGAGTGTGTGTGTGTGTGTTTGGGGGTTAGGGGTAGAAGAGTCCAAACAAGCTAGAATTGTGGACTGTCTCAGAAGGTGGTTTCCAAAGTAGGAGGTTTGAATAGCTCTGGTTACTTGGTGTTGTCAAACCTTTGAGCTGAGAGAACATAGTTTGAGGGGACATGGAGCAAGTTCGGTCAGAATTCAGAGAGAGCCTCACACATTTGGGGGAAAAAAAAAAAAAAGCCTTTGGAAACAGTTCCTGGCTTCCACCTGTTCACATCCCCACTAAGGAGAATGTATGAGCAGATGCCTCATCAAAATGGGGGTACAGCCTGCCTTTCTTGAGAAAACTCATGTCTATTGTCTCCTTTCTATGGGGTGGGGTGGGCAGGACTATGGTGCCCCCTCTTTCTGGAGAGGTCTTCGTGATCCTCTGTGTCACTTTCCCACGGTTTCCTTAGTTTTATCAGTGCTGGGGCTCATGGGAAACTCCCTCTTCTCATGTAGGTGTTGACTGCTGCCTTCAACTTCACCTTCAGTGGTCAACGTACATCCTCTGCCGCGTTACTGTGTTCTTAGTAATACCTATAGCCTTCACCATTGCATACAGATGGGTCAGGGCCACATTAGGAGTTATGGCCATCTAACTTACAAAATGCATCGGGAAAGGGATATTTTAAACTTGAAATGGAAATTTTCAAAATGTGCAGAGAAAAAGAATTTGTTTATGGTTTACATAAACTTGGAGTCCCACAATTAAAGATACATATGAGCTAAAATGACTGTAATTTGCTTTTTCTAAAATCTTACTGTACGTTTCTTTTTCATTTGAAGGAGACAAAAGACTTGGTTTTTTTAACAATAGCCTTTATCATATAATATCTAGATAGGCCAGAATTAGCCAGGGATCGGCTATATTGTTGAGGCAGAATCGCCTCTTTGCAAAACCAGGGGTAAAAGTTAATGTCAGGGTGGTATGTCTTTCAAGATTCATTTTCAAGGGACAAATGGGTGGCTCTGTCGTTAAGCGTCTGCCTTCGGCTCAGGTCATGATCGCAGGGTCCTGGGATCGAGCCCCGCATCGGGCTCCCTGCTCAGCGGGAAGCCTGCTTCTCCCTCTACCCACTCCCCCTGCTTGTGTTCCCTCTCTCGCTGTGTCTCTCTCTGTCAAATAAATAAATAAAATCTTTAAAAAAAAGATTCATTTGCAGGCTTCTAGAACTTTCATCCACACCCCAGGCCTCCCTCTACCACTGCCTATTGAAACTGATATGTTCCATAGTCCTTTACTGCACAGATCTACTAGTTACTGCCTAGGATGCTAGACTAGTAGGCAGGTTAAACTTACGTTCTTGGGAGGCTTCTAGGTTTTCCCCTCCCTCAGTCCTTCCTCAGGTGTCCTAGACTCATTAGGCTCCCTTTGCTGTGACCTCTTAGATCACATCTGTAAGTGTTCCATAAAGTGGCACCTGCCTTATTGTAATTCATCACGCCCTGGATGCTGGCTTCTCCCACAACTTCAACCTTTTGGCTCAATTACCTTCCCAGTTCCAATCACCTGTATTCTAGGTTTGACCAAACTTGGGGCAATGTTTGCCTTCCCAGTGCTTCCCACACTTAGGCAGAGTATTGGACCAAACTGATGCTTTGCCGCTTCTTCATAGGTTTCTAGCCCCAAATACTCTATAAGCTCCCTAATTACAGAATCTAAAGTAGTAATATCCATACTGTTTTGATTGATCACGCCATTGGTTTAAAAATTTAGCATATGCCTGCAATGCATATATATGTGTGTGAATTATTTATGTGTGCTAGTGCATGAATGTTTTACATTTTTAAAAATATATAGTAGAAAGATAAAGTAGAAAACTTAATAACAAAATGATTGCAAATACAAGTTCTATCTTTTTCTGCGGGCCAGTGGGTTGTCTTGCATACTTCTCTTTGGAGATTGAGGGACTTGGGCCATATCTAACAGAATGCCCACTCTGAGGTTATAAATTCATATACTAGCTTTCCAAAAATATGTTTTATATTCGATTGCTTAAAGTTGTAACTGGAAGGAATGGTTCTCTGATGGGCTCACACATCTGTATGTATATAAGGACTTCCTATACCTGGCTTCTAGCCTTTCCATATTTATAGACAAACTCTATGATTCTAATTAACTTGTTCACCTAGCATTTTGGGGGTTGGGAAATAAGTTGAAAATATAGATATAAATGAACACGTTGGAATGTTATAACTAAGATTCCATTTTTCTCATCCTTCTATGACCCTCTATAGCTTTTGTATGTTAATGTGTTCCCCAGAGAAAACTTTCTAGATTGAAATAACCAGTGATTATGTCCCTATGAAAGACAATTTGAAAGTTCATCCGCTGAGAGGAGGTTAAAAAAGTATGGTACATTTATACATTAAAATTTTGTTTCTTAAGAATATTTAATGACATGACATTTTCATGATAGGCTATGTGAATAGGGAAGGTAATTCATATCTAGATATGTATATATTATATATGCATATCGATCTGTGTGTACAGAGATGACTATCAAAAATCAGAAGA